ACCCGTACCATATGGAACTTCATCAGAAACTTTATGATGACGATTTTCGGCATCGAGTAGATTTTTCAAATAGAATTCTTGAAATTGTGCATGCTAATGGCAACTTCTTAAACGGCATTTTATTTTCGGATGAATCTACTTTCGAGAGTAGTGGATCTGTTAATAGGCACAATTTGCACTATTATACGACTCATAACCCTTATTGGCTGAGAACCATGGATCACCAAAATAGGTGGTCATTGAACGTTTGGGGAGGTACTATTGGAGGCCGTGACGTAGACTTGCATACAAGACCGAACATGTGGATTCAGCATGATGGTGCTCCTGTTCATTATAGCCGTATCGTACGGCAGTTTTTAAATCGGAGTTACGCTAACCGTTGGATAGGAAGAGGAGGAACTATTGCTTGGCCAGCTTGCTCCCCAGATCTGACACCCATTGATTTTTTCCTTTGGGGGTATGTAAAGGAAAAAGTTTACAGAGAACGACCAAGCACAGCTGAGGATATGATGCAGCGAATAACCGATGCATTTAATTCTGTTAACGAGGATATGCTAACCCGCGTGAAGCAACCTTTTCTACATAGACTTTGTGACATTTTGTGTGTTCAGCAGAATGGCCGTATATTTGAGCATTTATTATAATTATTAATTAAAGTATTTCGGTAAATTAAATTTTTGATTCTGATTTAATTGATTTTTGTGCTTCTATTATAAGAATAAATAATAATACAATTCAACGAAAGAAATTATTAATAATTATTTCTCTCTGTATTACGTTGAATTGTATTATTTAGAATAACTGGTGGATTATGTGATATGTACTCCTTTTTACCAAAAAGATAATTTCACACTTGAAACAATTAGATTTTAAACAATTTTTGTTATTGGTATCCATGGATACGTCAAAATAACTAGCTTGTCGATTTTTCAGGTGTGTTGATACCTAAATTATTACAAAATTGTGAAATATCTTTGTTATTATTAACTTTAGGTATAGGGAATGGTTATACCAATCAAAAGGTAATTTTATAAGAAATTGAATTTCATTAAAAATAAGAAAGTTATTAACCTTTAAAGTTTGCCAAATTCACCCTAATTTTTATCAAGTAATTGGTTAGAAATATGGCAAAGTTTTATACGGGATATTTAAAACAATGTTTCAAGACTCCAAAAATCCAAACCGCATACCAATACACCTAATAACAAAGAAGTTATAGGCTATTTTTGTTGAAGGCGCAACTGTCAAATTTTTACGAAAAAAATTAATAACTCGAAAACTATTGAGTTTAGGTATAGGGAATGTTATAGAAATTTTATCAGGAATTACATATTAAATTTAAAAATCAAAAAATATACAGGGTATTCTATTTGAAATAACAATGTTGATGTCACTTCCGGTGAAACCGGAAGTGGAATTTGGTTCAAAATAATTTTGGAAAATAGGTTTAGTTGGATCATATTTTCTATAAATATTTCATATCGATATCTTTAATAGCAAAAAAAATATGGACCGATCACAGAGCACTGGGTCACCCTGTATATATAGTATACCAAATATATAGTATTAGTAGTAGGGTGATTCCTTTTAAAGGAACATTTTTTTACTCCCCAAGCAAAATAATGATGTTTATATATTTCGAGAAAAAACTACCTTAAAGTTTCAGCCCTTAATCTTAGTCCTAAGTACTTTTATTTTGATTTTTAAGTGTTTGCATTGAAATAACAGAATATTATGATTTTTTTTCAATTTTCTATAGCTTGGTAATATTTTACGTTACTACAATTTACATGTGTAGGCGTGATTTGTACATAATACCTAATAATAATACATAATAACTTTAAAAGTACTTGCAACAATTGTAATACAAATCATATATTTCGACCTGTCACCAAAGTTATATTTTTAATAAAAAATAGTATTTTTGCATTTTACCCTAAAACAGTTAACGTTACTTTTATCTGTAAACATGATTTTTATAGAAAATTTTATTTCCCATAAATAAGATTAAATGAATTAATTCAATAAATTCAATTTCAATTTTCAATTTATTTTAGGAAATAATTAAAATATACATAAGTTTTTTATAAAAAACGTAGATCATAATAATAATAAAAAATATATATGCATACTTAAGAGATAAGGAGGATTTAATAAAATTTACTGTCAAATATCGATAAAAGTAATTATTACTGTATAATAGTATATAAATAGTTGACAGTAAAATTAATTAAATCTTTTAAACTATATATTTTATTGCATCAATGCGTAAAACTTTTTTTGTAGGAAATTGAATTTCTTATACAAATAATTTCTACTTGGGGCAATTAGTTAATCAATATTTGACAGTAAAATTTATTAAATGCTTTATATCTTTTAAACTATGCATTTTATAGGATTATTGCAAAGGACCTTTCTTAATAAGAAATTCTTATAGAAAATTGAATTTCCTATAAAAATCGACATTGCCTTTTACCTTTAACTTTAAAAATACTGTTTTTATTAAAAATATGACTTTGGTGACGTATACAAGTGTAATATACGAATTGTAGTACTTTAAAAGAGAATCAATAGTGTAAAAATCTATGTAAATTCTAGTAACGTAAAATACCGACAAGATATAGGGAATTAAAAAAACATAATTTCAATGGAAAAACTTAAAAATTAAAATAAAAGTACTTATGAATTAAATTAAGGGCTGAAACTTTACGATAATTTTTTATATGTATGAACATCAATAATTTGCTTGGGGATTTAAAACGAATCACCCTTATAAGTACCTAAATACATACATAAGTACCTAACTTATTTTTATTAAATTTTATTTTTATGAAATTTAGCCAATTTTCAAAATTTATTCCAAAATTGTTTTTACCCTCGTAAAATTTTAAGGCGGTTCGTTATTTGTATAATTCTTTAATATTATTAAACTGCGTGAATATATTTACGCCTTATATAAATCTATTGAATATGTGTTTTAGTTTATACGAATAAAAATCACAAATAAAAGACGTTGCAAATATTATTTTAATAGAACGCACTAAAAACATACATTTTTATCTTTGTAGAAAAAAACTAGTTTTAAATCTGACAATTTGTAGGTTTTAACCATACATTATATTTACATAATAAATATTAACAAAAAAATGCAGTTCATACGAATCGAGGTTTGTAAATAACTCGATTTTTGACAAAAATTAGTTAATCATTTTCTTATATAAAAGTGTCGTCTTTTTCATTTAAAATTTTTCAATGCATAGATAAATATCATAAAATATTTTGTATTTGTTTGTACTTTGCTTACTCAATACATAATTGTCGGTAATATATCCAGTATTTTACTATTTACATAAAACTATATAAAAAAAAAAATAATTTAAACAATGCACGTGCACTTTTTATAAATTCTATTTCCGTACGCAAAGCTAACCTTATTAATTATTTAAACAAACGGTTAATATAAGGGGGAAAAGTAAAAAGTCAATATATTAAAACTATAAAATAAAATATAAAAATCTTTGCAGTATTTTGGATGGTTTAAAAAATGTAAGTTTAAATTATTTGCAAACTTAGTTATTCAATAATTTAAACACTTTACCTAAAGGACTGTTCAAAGAATACAAATTTGTAAGTGATGATTTATATCATTTTAGCATTTTTTATTTATTTTTGAAATGAATAAAATGTATGCTGAATCATTCAAAAATGTTATGGTAAAATTGCAAACTAAAAAATAAGATATAATCTTACTCGATAAAACAACAAAATTTATTTAAAAAGTTATTCTTTTATTTCATTTAATTGCAAAAACATTTAGATTTATAGTGTGTAATAAATCATATCTTGTGTTAAATTGTTAATGTTTATATTTTTAAGGTCATATTTTGGTTACTTTGCACGCTTTAAAATTTCCAATGTCAAGGCTACTACAAAAAACGTGTTTTATAATTAAATTTTTAAAATATAAATAAAGTTGATTTATTTACATTATTTATTATTCAGGATTTCTTTAGGTAGGTAGGTACCTATAACGGATCTGAAAAATGAATAATAAATCTATAAATCCCAATGCGGATTTAATCTTAAAAAGTATTATTATTTTATATCTACACTTCTTAAAGAAAAACAGTTAAAATATTATTATTTGTTGCAGTACTTTTCATATTTTTAGTTATACTATTAAGACATGTCTAATTCTCATGCTCATGCATGAGCATGAGAATTATTACATGAGTCGAAGGCATATAACATAATGAGTGCGAGTGTCTTAATAGCCCAATAAATGGGAGTTGCATACACTATTTTTTCTACGACTTTACGGCCTTTTAGAATTTCTGGAGGGGTTAAATTTTTATTTTTACATTCTCTATTGCAGTTGAATTTTTTTAAGTAAAAATTAGTAAACATTAATTTTTACTTAAAAAAATCAACTTTTAAAATTGTTTTATGTAAACAATAACATGTCGGTTACATGTACGTGCACGGAAAAAAAGTTAATTTTTAATGTTTTAAATGTTAATCTGGAAGCTGGCTCAGAATCTGTTACTTATTAAAAATTAAAAAGTGAAAAAATAACAGTGGGTACATCTTAATTTTTAAAATTTAAAATACTACTTAATTCAAATACTAATTATTAACAAAGATTATTTAATATATAATGTAATCTTTAATAAGTATTTTTTTCCGTGCCATAATAAATATCATTATAGTAGAAGTAGGAAATGTCTAATAAACAAATTAAAGTTGGGAATAGAAAAAAAATATTTTGTTTGCCACTTTTTATGTGTTGACCACGGTTTTATAAAAATAAATATAAAATCATCAAATTATAATATTATACGATATATATTAATAACATGATATTGATTTTTAACTAAAATATGAATATACAAATTTGTGTACTTTGTACAGCAGTTGATAGTATTTGCGAATGTAAGTAATATATTATAGTTATTTATAGTTATTTTAACAATAAAATACTTTTATCTTTGCAAACTTACTGTATGGCCATTCGAAGTCCTTCCATACTTCGGACACGACCGATATAAAATTTAAAAGCCTTTTGACGTTCTTCGAATTATTCAAATTGCATCAAACAGGCGAAACAAAACAATAACAAAATAACAAACGAAATAGTCTTGACCTCGTGCACAAAAACAAAACTCTATCCAACATCGACGTCAAGTTGCCAGCGACTGAATAAGATCGGCAGCTCAGCTGTTTTGAAATTGTCGAGGGGCGCTGTTGTCAAGTAACACCGAAAGTCTCATAAACGACGAATTTTAATTTTTTTTTTTAGATTTTAAAACTCTAATTATTTAAACGCAATAAGTGATTTAAGGTGGCGCAAGTTTTTATTTATTAGTATATTTTTGCGTAAACTGTTGTTGAATTTGGCAACAAGGTCAGTTATTATGTTGGGTCCCACAGCTGTCCAGTGTTTGAAACAAAGAAATATGTATTTTAACCCTTTACCGGATGTGTAAAACCAATTGCAAATTAATTTTATAAACAAGGTCTGTCACTGACATGTATGTAATTTAACAGAAATAAGCATTAATTAAAGGGGTTTTAACCTTAAATCTAATTAACCATATGATAAGTACTCTCTGTAAAAACAGAAAAAAGTCTGTCATACTGTTCTAGTATTTTTGTAGTAATCACCACATGCGTGGAAGACATTTACGTTTTGTATTTTTTTCCTTAGTTTCGTAATTAATACTTTCCAATCAAGGAATAGTTGTCAAAGCCCACGTATGCTAAATATTTGAGTTTGGGGATCATTACTTAATACTATTTCTCAAAAAAAGTATTTAAAACATGCAACTTGGATCCTAATAAATTGCGCATCAAAGTATTAAATTTAATATTCAATATTATAGGTAGGTGTAGCTAAAGTTCTCCTTACGTAATAAGAAACTTAAAACCATTTTATAAGAATGAAGCTATAATAATCATCAAATAAAAAACGATAAACAATACCATAAATTTATAAAAAACTATAGGTATACCCAGAGTAGGGCAATAATCGAATAAAATTGTAATCATGAATATAAATAGTAATTATTTTGGGGATTAATGATTATTTATGTAGTCATTATTCATGAATACTTTACTTGAATAATATTCATTATTTATAATAAAATTTTACATTGTAATCATGAATAACGTTATTTATGAAAGTATGATTATAATTAACATTCATAATCAGAATTAAAGAATAAATTATGTAATTATAATCATTCTGTATAATTACTTTGGTAAATAATCCTTGCTTAACGAATTTAAAGTGAGAACAATGTAACCAAGAAAATTCATTCACTCGTTGTTATATAATTTCGCCGGGATTAATCATATACAATGACTACAATTATTAATCATTATTCTTTTCCGATAATTGACGATTTCAGTATTTATAACCACTCAAAACGTAAATAATAAATAATATTCGTTATTCATGTTAGAATGATTTATGATTACTTTATTGGTATCATTATTCATGATTACATTTCATAAATAATAATCATAATCATAATCATAATCGAATACAATTTGCCCCACTCTGGGTATACCTACTGACGTATTTTAAAACAAGGAGATATGTGTTAATTATAATATACACAGGCAAAATAATCGATCCACACAAATTTTCGATGAATTTCAATCGCAAATAACTTTTTTATTTCTTTTCGGATTTATACAAATATTAAAGAATATTGTAGATACATTAATGGAGAATCGCTCACATTTTAAAAATTACTAAAAAATATACGTACGTTTATAATACAGGTTTAAACAAAAATATGTTTTTTACCATAAGTTTAAGACACTCTGTAGAGTGGCAAAACCGTATATTGTTCTAAAGTAAGTTTTAATTATCAAGTCACATCTATTTTTAACAGTTTTGTTTTTGGTTCACCATGATATATTTATTTTTGTGGAAAATATGGATTTTTTTTAAAAAACATTGCAATTTCCAATATTTCTCCTGTATGAAGAACTAAGGTTGCTGTGGTCCATCCATAGCCTATGGAGGATGACAGTGACAGTTTTGTTGAATTATCCCATACTTGGGCATGTCATATATACAGCTTTCAAAAGCTATCAAATTGTTTTTTGTAAATTAATGTGTTCATTTTGAGATGTCTTCATACTTTTAAAAATGTCTCCGACTGATGTTGCCCTTTGTACTTTACTTCTGGTGACGTTTAAAACACTTGCCACGTAATACTGTGATCGTCCATCCTGGATTAAATTAATTGCTCTGGCAACATCAGTCGAAAACATATCCATTTTTTAAAGTAAGAAGACACCTCAAAATTTAAACATTAATTTGCAAAAAACAATTTGATAGCTTTTGAAAGCCGTGTATGACATTTCAAAGTATGGGATGATTCAGAAAACTGTCACTGTCATTCTCCATAGCCTATGGATGGGCCATAGCAACCTTAGTTCTTCATACAGAAAAATATTGGAAATTGCAATGTTTTTTTAAAAAATCCATATTTTCCACAAAAATAAATATATTAAGGTGAACCAAAAACAAAACTGTTAAGAATAGATGTGACTTGATAAATAAAACTTAATTAAGAACAATATACGGTTTTGCCACTCTACAGAGTGTCTTAAACTTATGGTAAAAAACATCTTTTTGTTTAAACCTGTATATTATAAACGTACGTCTATTTTTTAGTAATTTTTTAAATTGTGAGTGATTGTCCATTAATTTATCTACAATATTCTTTAATATTTAAAATCCGACATCAAATAAAAAGTTATTTCCGATTGAAATTCATGGAAAATTTGCGTGGATCGATTATTTTGCCTGTGAGTGTAGATATATACTAAGTATATTATACTTACGTTCTTTTAAATAATTTTGAAACAAGGAGATATGTGCCTATTATAATATACAGGATGGACCATCGAAAACAGTCCAGCAAGCTTTACGGCTTTGTATGTAAAATTTAAAGACAATCTTCGGAACCGTATACTTTTATTTTCAGGGGGACATATTTACACATTACTTTCATTACTGTAACCAACCCCTTAGCGGCATTCTATATTATTGTTTTAAATGGGAAGGGGTATGTTGTGATTTATCTTTTAAAAGGACATTACATTTTCATTAAAATGGCGCTTCGATTTTTAAATTTGGGCTACGGGTTGCCGAGAAATGTATGTGTATTCGAGGTGTGTTCAGAAAATAACGGGAATTTTTAAATTTCGCGGGTTTGGAGAGTCCGGTTGTCATAAAATTGTCTTTATTATGTTGGTATACATACCCCTGAAGAATGATAAAAATTTTAAATGTTTTCATTGTTTACTTTGTCTGTGGCAGCCGCTAAGGTTAGACGTGTTTTTATGAGCTCGGCGATTTTCGTTCGTTAAAAGAAATGGATCAAAGAATTTGTATCAAATTTTGAGTAAAAAATGAAATAAAGTGTTTGAAATGTTAAGAAAGGCCTATGGTGAGTCTGCTATGAGTAAAACAAGAGTTTATAAGTGATACATGAGTTTCCAAGATGGCCGTAAAGACGTTAAAGATGACGAACGCCCCGGACGCCAGCACATTAACAACCGATAAAAACATGGAAAAAGTGGAAGAAATGGTTATGAACGATCACCGAATCACAATCAGAGAAATCGCTGATGATGTTGGCATATCGATGAAATTTTTTCGAATGTTTTGGGTATGAAACGCGTGGCAGCAAAATTTGTTCCAAAATTGTTAAATTTTAAACACATTTTTTTGCCAAAAACAATACTGTAATGATGCCCCAGCCTACATATTCGCCAGACATGGCTCCGTCTGACTTTTTCCTATTCCCCTAAATAAAGAGAGCCTTAAAGGGCCGTCGTTTTGCAAGCATAAATGACATTAAAAGCGCATCGCTGAAAGAACTAAAGACTATCCTAAAGATCGTGTTTGAGAAGAGTTTAGAGGATTATAATCATCTATAGATGAAGCGCTGGCGCAAGTGCATAATAGTAGTAGTAGTAGTAGTAGTAGTACGGTTGGGTAGGCTCGAAGCCTGACAATTAGACTCCATGGTCCTTTTTATCTGCCCCTCCTAAACCAACCAAACTACTCCTCATCTTCCTCTTCGCCCATACCAGCCCTTTCGAATCTTCCAGACCTACTTATAAAGGTCAGGATATCCTGCCAGGTAAGAGAGGCCAACTCTTCCCTTTGGAGTGTCATCACTCCAAAGATTTTATACCTTAGTCTGCCGAGGGCCTCACACTGTCCCAGGAAGTGAAAGGAGGAAGTGCATAATATCTAATGGGGACTATTTTGAAGGCGACAACTTTAATGTAGACGAATAAATAAATACTTTTTCAAAAAACGAAAATTCCCGTTATTTTCTGAACACACCTCGTATAAATCCCCCTGAAAACAAAATTATACAGGTCCAAGATTTTTTATTTTCACATACAAAGCCGTAAACCTTGCTGGACGGTTTTCGATGGGCCACCCTGTAGATATAAAGTTAGTACATTGGCACTCCGAAATCACCACATTCGTATAAGACAAATTTACAACGTTTTTGTATTTTTCCAGTTAGTTTCGTAATTACAACTTTCCAGTCAAGGAATATGTACGTACATATAATAATATTCTTTTTATCAAGCTACAATTACCAACATTTTCTGGTACAAAAATTAAATTTCAACTGGACTTTCATGAAAGTCGGCAATAATCGAATTTTGATCTTCGATCGTGATTGAAATTTTATTTACTTTCTAGTCGATTAATTTCGTTTGATAATGAAATAATTTCCTCCATTTAATCCTAAATAAAAGTGATCTCCTTTCAATGATCAGCTTATTGTTGCTTATGTCGGTCGACTCGTTTTTCAATTAAACCATAACAGACATAAAAGCACTGGTATAAATGGAATTTGATATTGTGTTGGAACTTCCTTTATTATTTTAGATCCTTGATGCAACTGGCAAATGTCGTTTAATTATCAATAGGTATGTATCTAAATATTATTTAAAACCTTTCGTCTTATTTAAAAAATCAAATCACAAGTAAAATGTTGTCTTTTGTTAAAAGGTGTCATTTAAATTTTCCGCCCCATTTTGTAAGAAGAAGAGAAAAGTCAAATGAAACTGACAAAGCAATTACACGTGTTTTAATGGAATTCAAATTTATTTATTAATGCAAATTAAAAACG